ACCCCCCCCTCCGCACCGACCAAGGTAAAGTTTGAACGCGGTTTCGAGTGCGAACACCAGGTTCATGAAGTTATGGAATGTCTATTGTAAAAGGAGAGGAGATTTCACGTGATTGAGCCTTGGGAAAAATGTAAGGAACATAGAGGGAGATGTTTTAGGCATGGAATACCGGCTAGGTAGCTGTACTGGGGCATAGAACGTGGGTTGAACAGGCGGGACGTGATGTCGATAGGATAGGTAGGCTAGGGGAAACATTTGTGAGACACCTTTTGTTGGTGAAGTAGGAGGGAACGATTGACCATCGGTATTTGGGCCTGTGGGAACAATATTCCGTCCTCTCGAGGACGCGTGGTCAATGGTCTAACCACTAAGATATGCAAAACATACGAGTACGCCCCGCCCCTGCCCCCTCCGCACCAGTATTATTTGAAACGGAGATCCCCCTCCTCGTCGCTGATCTGAACCTGCCGGTGGGTGGGGTCACCGGACACCACGTGAGTCACCCCTCACCACCTTGATGGGTTCTTATCTTGCAGCTGCCACTTTTTGGGGGATCTGTTCTCATCCGAAGGCGCTTTGTCAAACGACACATGCGGGTTCTTGTTCTTTTTACCACGTTGGAACTGAGCACGTCTTCTTATGGGCATACATTTTTATTTTTTCGAGGCTGCATTTCATAACTGCTAAGTTCGTAAGTACGAGCGCCATCTGTAGTCGAATTTTAGTGTGTGGGCGTGTCGTTCGGTTGTGAGCATGCAAACGTGCTGCAGGGATTGCAGGTGTACCTCCTCGGGCTTGCGTACCCTTTTCTTGCTAATAGTGTGTGTGTTCGTTAGATCTTCTGATGGCTCTAGCATTTTGCGACCACGGACCGAGTCTTTTCTAGATTTCGGGATTAGCAACTGACACGAGTTTAATGTGAAGAAAACAACAACAACAACAACAATGGTTTCAGTCGGCATGTCATGTACAGCAGAGCATCTTGCTTGGCGTGTGCATGTGAAGGATCTTCCTGGTGGCTTCGCCTTTCACGGCCCACAGATCTGCTTATTACAATCCTCGAAGCGTCCACATCTTGACAGGGTTCCTGCCCGTGNTTGCTAATAGTGTGTGTGTTCGTTAGATCTTCTGATGGCTCTAGCATTTTGCGACCACGGACCGAGTCTTTTCTAGATTTCGGGATTAGCAACTGACACGAGTTTAATGTGAAGAAAACAACAACAACAACAACAATGGTTTCAGTCGGCATGTCATGTACAGCAGAGCATCTTGCTTGGCGTGTGCATGTGAAGGATCTTCCTGGTGGCTTCGCCTTTCACGGCCCACAGATCTGCTTATTACAATCCTCGAAGCGTCCACATCTTGACAGGGTTCCTGCCCGTGGACCTTGTGGGGACCAATTACCTTCCCAGGTTGTCACAGCAGTGTCCGTGCAGGGTCTATTATATTTGCCCGCAAGGTCCACAAAGGGGTAGCCGAATGGCTACAGGTGCGGCCGAAGTCGGCCAATTTCATATTTCTTGGGGCTGTCGCATGTTGCTGAACCTTATATTTCTCATTTCTGACCAGGAAAACAACAACAACCCACCAAGCCTTCATGAGCATTTTACCAACAGCACAGTGTGGCCAACATTGGGGGTTGTGGCAGTATAGCAGCACAGCAGCTGTGGGTAGCGCAGCTCGCGGCGGCGCAGGGGCGCGGGGGCGCCGCGAAAAAAAACTCTCTCTGTCGTCCCCCCCACATGACATCGGCTAGGTTGGGGGTGGGAGCATGGTGGCAGCAGCAGCAGTGGGGCCTTTCTTTTTGGACACGCTCCCCCAGCTACCCCTTGTTTCTATTGTCTTGGGGGGTATCGCACGATTTCTTATTGAGGCGTTTCTTTTGTTGTGGCCGAGATTGAGCTGTGTTTCTCAGCTCCCTTTCCTTAAAGGTAAACATTTGAGCTTTTTCTAATCAAGAGAATTTTCGTATTTGCGGGGCCCGTTCTGTACTAGACTAAACTATGTTAGGGCTCGCAAGACGAAAAAATAGATACCGCAAACAAAGCTGCCCGCGTGAATGAATTCATGCAGAAATAGGCCTCTCACAGACAAGACTAACGCCTGCTGCTTAGCAGGTGATCGTCTCGAAAACCACGTGAAGACGTAAGGAGAGAAAAAAAAACAAATAAATTATCGTCAGGCTTTGATCCCGGAGGACTGACGATGACTGACTGTGTCTTCCATAATCATGTTAGATGTACAACATATCCACTGAGCTAAACAATCAGCGCTGACTGTTTAGCTCAGTGGATATGTTGTACATCTAACAAATCACTCTCGCTCGCTCGATTTCCAATCAAATTCAAGAGATCAGATGTCGAGCTCTCTCTTTCTCTCTTTCTCTCTTTCTTGGCGTGTTCCCTCTCAACTCTCACACAGATCCCCACATTCTAAGAGTCGTCCGCGATTGATGTTATTTCGATGAAATCAATCCTCGAGCAGCGCAACGAACTGCGAGTCGGCGTCCCACCTAACGATACCCACCTCCCTCGCCCTCCCTTTTCATGGCGCTCCCTCCTGCTCGTCTATCGGAAACTGTTACTCCCCACGCCAGCAAGAACGAGTGTCACTTCGCTAAAAACACTACTGTATACTGTCCACAACCAACGGTCAGACCGAATCCTTGTGGTTATAAGATCCCCCCGACCCCGACAGAAGCTCCCCCCCCCCCCCCC